TTGGTGAGTATTTTCTAGTAACTATTTTATATTTTCTTTAGAAATCTAGTGAATCATATAATTGCTCTCACCCTTAGAGTATGTTGATTTGATCAAATTAAATAGACAATTTTTTTGTGTTCTTGTCTGTCATCTTCTTTTTGCAAATCAGATTATTGTATTGTTTGTGTCCATTTATTTTGACTATCATTGTTCTTTTGTCTCAAACATCAAATTTTTCGATGTATTTGAAGCTATTAACAAATTCTCTGAATTTTCTCTGAATTTGTTATAGGTTTCCAAATAGTTGATATTCAAAAACATTAAGACTTTGTCTTTAGTTGCTATTGCTGACTAAGACTAATGACCTTTGAAATGACCTGTTGGTTGAAAAATCATAGTCAACTAATGTTTATGGTCAAATTTTGTGGGGTCTAATGCAAATGAGTAGCACATCACTTTCAATCATCTTATTATTGAACCATGCAAATGAAGAGGTTCTCAGTCCAATTTTCCAGTCAAAAAGACCAAAAAAATGTACCAGTAGTTCCTTGTTCCCATGTTATCATCATGTAATCAAACACCAGAAAGATCAGAGTAACCAGTGTGTAAAGAAAATAAACTTTCATTTTGATTCACAAGCAATATCTGTATTAAACAATGAAGAAAAACTTTAGGATTTCTCACTTTTTGGACATGTCTATCATGGTTTGAAGTTGAAGGGAGTTTGCATTCAAACTCCTCACTACTTAAAAGTTTATCATATTTTAGAAAATGCACATCCAGAATGCACAAATTGTTCCGAAGCACAATTTGTTTGGTGTGAAATATGTATATGCTACACTCACAATTCGATCATCTGCAGTCGCTGCACAGCACGGCACACCATCCGCATAACAAAACCTTAAAACTAATCTACATATCAGTAATGCTTATTGTCAGCATCATCAATTAAACAAACATGATCAGTCTGTTTTCCTCCTAAACTAGTGTCTCTCTCTCTCACCACGCACTCACGCACGCGCCTAAACAATATGATATATCCAGAAGGGATGTTTTTGGTTAAAAGCAACATCCACAGCAATATATCTCACAGAAATTCAAAACCAGACAAAGATTACAAGGGAAAAACTAGACAACAAAAAAATAGAAACACCTTGGAGAATCAAAATAACTATCGACAGAAAATTTTGCTCTTACGGACAAGATTGAATGACTGAAAACAATAATTCCTTTTCCAATATTCAATTACCAGAAAGAAAACGGATACTCTACAACAGAGAAGAGCTAACGAGAAGCGAAGTAGTCTTCTCATTTTTGCTGTAGTGAGTCTTTTTTAGATTTCTTCAACTGCCACGGCGGTAAGCAACCTTTATAGTGAGAATGCAGAAACAATGAACACATTGGTACTTCCATTTGTGGCATCGAGATCGATGACAAACAACTGAAGGCCGTTCGAAGTCTCTTTTTTTCACTATCACTCTCTTGAAAGTTCGAATCATGCTGAACAGTAGAAGTCTTAAGTGCTTCAGGGAGTATGCAATTGCAAAAGGAACCTACAACGAAAACAAGAAACCATACATCAGTAAGCCAATTCATATATACGCGCAGCATAATCACTTATTCTTCAACAACAGAACTCAAAAGAATGTATATATATATGTACCTATTCTTGCAAGACGATTGACCCATTTCGGTATAGAATTCCCTGTAAGCTTGTAACTAATATCTTCACAAAAATGATTGCAATTTTTCACAATCAAGTGATAACTATCACCATTGTATTTCGCAGACATGTTCTCCATGAACTCTCGAATCTGGAACGGATCTAAGCTAGTAGTTCCCACGAAAATCGACTTCCTAAACTTAAATCCAGGACACTGTCTAGGCTCAACCTCAAACACACCACTTGTTGGATAATCATGAGCCCCAAATGCATATTCCACTCCATAAACTGTAAGTACATAATAACTTCATCTTAGAAAATACTAATAACTTTTCGCCATAAACAGATAACAGTAGTCACAGATATAACTAATATACACATGCATATAATCACTTTTTCTATAAGCACTTAATTGTGAAGTGAAAACTGACCTTCAAGTCCAGTGTGGAAAATACCAACTCCAGCCCAATACATAAATCCATTAACAGTAGTCAAATCATAGACATTGAGATAAACAGGAGTGTTTCCAGGTTTGTTTCCATCTGATTTCAGCTTAGAGAATATGCAAAAGGGTGTCACTGATTTGTGTTTGAGGCGAAACCGCACGATCGAAGGCCATCCATTTTAAATCCTGATTTCATTTTATCAATGAATCCAGTAACCACTCAATATCTATCTATATTCTACCTGCAGATAGATACACTGAAAAAATAAATAAAATTATTTGCACAAATTACACAACCAAAATTTGTTTCTTCTTGAACAAATTATAGTAAAAGAAATGAAATCACTTCAAACCCTATATTTCAAGATCTAACTCATATCTGAGCTCAATTCCTGTGACATAAAACTACTAGTACAAAAAAAATTAGCAAAATCTAAAAGGGAAGAACAAAACAGCATCAAAGATAATAGATCAAATTAGAAAGAAAAAAACATAAAACAACAACAAAAATTAAAATAAAAAAAATCTAAAAAATAAAAAGGTAAATCCAATGGAAGAAAAACAAACAAACCTATTAAGAGTGAAGTGAAAAACTCCTCCACCACCAAAGTATGATTGAAAAATTACTCATTCATTTTCAAAGAAGAGAATGAAACAATGTGTGTCTGAAACTCACACATTGTTCTGACAAAACAAGTGAAAACTGGTTGTGTTGTGAAGTTATAGTTAAGAGACCAGACAGAAACTACTTTGTCTTTTTTATTTGCTTAATGAGGATATTTAGTCATAGATAATTGAATATCAGTACTACTAATAAAGTATATTTAATTTTGGGAAAATGAGAAAATTTGAAAGGGAAAAAATAAAATAAAAAATAATACTATGGATAAGTGAAAAAAAGTGTGAAAGAAATTCTGTCTGGACTTGACACTTTGACATTGACTGTCATCATTGCATTTTGCGTTGAATGGTGGTTTTATATTTATTCTCTCTCTTTCTCTTTATTGATTTTTGCTTCTTTTTCTTTTTTTAAATAGGGTGTGTGTTTGTTCTTTATTAGAAATAAAATAAAATACTAGAAGTACTTTACTAGTAATATTAATTTATATTGGTTTCTTAAATTATTAATTACTTCTTTTGTCCTATATTATTTATTATAATTGTTCATTTCAAATATATTAAAAAGTAATAATAAATTTAAAAAACAGTAATTTTATTAAATTATTTTGATTAATTATTAATATATTTAAATTAACATTAATATTAAATTAAAAAATAATAAATTAAAAGTATTTATCAGATGTTATAAAATGTATTGTTAATGTAAAGTGATAAGTATTTTGAAATATTTTTTTTTTATAAATATAATATTTATTTTGAGATAGAGGGAATAATATTTTATTTTTATTTTATATTTGAGTTAATAGTTGTTGTTTTTTTCAACGAAAATTTCTTGTTTTCTTTTTTCTTTTAGTTTGTTAATAAACTATTGCAATGATTAATAGGAGCTGGCTTAAGCAGCTTTTGGTGTCTCAGGTGAGAAATTATTGCAGCTTTGTGAAGCATCATGTTTATTTTATGATTATTTTAATTAGGATCTATAAATTTGAATCGTCGGATTTAATTAATCGATTTATTGTTTTTCTTTTAAGTAAATGAATTAGATCGGATTTAATGCCAAATTTATTTAATTATTTAATTTGAATATTATAGGATTGATTCGGTCAGACTCAGATAATTATTTTAGATCGGTTGAAAATCGAATTCGATTAAATTTAATTAATATTTATTTTATATATTTTTTATTATTTTAGAGTTGAAATATTATAAAAATAGGTTTGATAATATTATCAAGTTATTATCATTTTTATAATTTAATAGTGGTATTATATATTTATAAAAATACAAGATATACAATATAAAATTTAAATGTTATTTAATTTATTGTTTAAAATATAATAACGAATAAATTAATATAAAATGATATTTAAAATTTTATAATGTGATAATAATGTTTTTCAATAATAAAAAAATAGTTCGTCTAGTTAATCTAAAATTTTAATAATTTTTATAAAAAATTAAAAGATGAATATTTAAGAATTTTATAAAAGATGAGTAATTTTTACAGGTTTATTTCAATAATATTAACTGATCAAACTCACTCAATTTATCTATTAAATCAATTAAATTGAATCCATCAAAAATTGAAAATTTATCAATCGAAATCAGATATTAATAATAAAATCACAATTTATATTGAATTTAAATTTTTAATCTGATTTCGATCCAAACTGCCCGATTACCCGCCCCTAATTCTAACTAACTTGCCAAATGTCCTCTAATTATTCATTACAAAATATTCTCCCTCCATTTTCACTAAAATAATTAATTTGTAACTGAATATAGTACATTTTTTTAATCAATTTCATTGTTGCATGGACAAAGGATAGAAAATAAAAATGATTAAATAATATATATTTTTATAATATTCAAATGATATATATTTTTATGTGTATGTTTAAATGATGACTTGTTGGGGTTGTCACGAAGTTAGTATTTCTCCATTGTATATTTAATGTTCTTTGTCATATAGTAGATTGAAGTAAAATATAGTACTATTGTATATCCAAAATAATAATAATAATAATAATAATAATAATAATAATAATAATAATAATAATAATAATAATAATAATATAGTTTATTGATTTAAATAAATTGAATAACAAACATTGAACGTGTGTTAATATACAAAGTAACACTTCTTTTGACTTTTTTTATTTCAATATTTAAAAAATAATAATATTTATTTAATCTTTATTATAAAATAACTTTACTTTTTAAATATATTAATAATCAATATATTTATTTATATAATTCAAATATATTGATTATTCAATGTATTTAAAAAAATAACTTTTTTTTGTTATAATAGAAATCAAGAGAATACTTTTTTAATATGAAATAAATTAGTTTTCAATAGAAAAAAATCAATCATTATAATTAAAGGAAAATATTAAATCAAATTGATGTTATTTTTCCTCTAAACAAACACCTATAATACAAAAATAAAAATAAAAAGTATACTTACACGAGAAATAGGTTGATTTATATTTAAAGTAATTAAAGTATAAAAGAAATTAAAAATAGTTACTCTTAAAAATTTATCTATATTTTTTATAATTTCAAAAAAATAATCGAGAAACTAAACGAAGTTAAAAATGATTCTTTTTCTATACCTTATTATACCCTTCTTTCACTAATGCAATTTGAATTTACAATAGCACTAATTTTATAGAATTTCCTAATAAAGCACTATTAAAACTCTTTTTGATGTAGTGTTTATAAAAATAATCTCAAAGTATGAACCAATTTTAAGTATCTTTTATCCTTTTTCTTTAAGAGTTCTTGGTTTTCTAGAGAAATAAAATTAGATATATAGATATTAGAATTCTTAGAGTTTATTATAATCCTAAATAGTATGTCATATTTGGTTGTAATCCAAGGTTATTGAAACACTCTCAAATACTATGAATTGATTGATTTTTATATTGACAGAAAAAGAGATTAGATCACAAATAAGTATATATTAGATTATTATTATCTTGTGCCTCAAAGATAATGTATTGAGGGAAATTGTAAGGGAGAAAATTGTATAGGAAATGTGAGTCAAGCTAGAATTATTATATATAATTAAATTATTGGTTCATAAGTCATGTCTGAACAAAAACTCTATTTATTTTGGATGGTTGAGAACAAATTAGTTGTGAAGCAATTAACGAAACAAAATTATGGATGAATTACAAAATATTGAGGTAAGACTTATTGATGAGTACAATAATCTACTTTTGTTAAGATCATTGGTTCGGAATGCTCTTATCACATGTGTCCAATAAATAAATACTTTGAGATATTAGGCTTGAAAGAATGTGAATTCGTTTGATTTAGTAATAATAAAGTTGAAAAGATTTATGATATTGGGATAATTCGACTCAAGATGTTTGACAACTGTGAGTTCCTTTTACATGATGTGAGGAATATTCTCAAACTTAAGCGGAATTTTTTTGTTTATAAATATGTTTAATGATTAAGGCTATAGCACTAGAATTGAACATGATGCATTACTAATTACTAAGGGGTCTAGAATGTGTGATTTGTATATTTTAGATGGCTTCATTGTTATTGGTAATACATCATTAACTGACAAAGAATTTATGACAAAAACAAACTGGCGTTTGAAATTAGGTTATATTAGTGAAAGAGGTTTGGTTGAACTACCTAAACAATTTTTCTAGGTAGCGAAAAATTGAACAAACTCAATTTTATGATCTTAGCATACTAGGAAAACAATATATATTGAAGTTAGGAAGTGATATGCATAATTCTAATAGGTTATTAAAGTATGTTCACTCGGATCTTTAAAGTTCGATAGTGGAGGAAAATCATGGGAGTGGTTTCTATTTTCTCACAATGATTTATGACTTCTCTAGAAAAGTAAGAGTTTAAATTTTAAAATATCAAAGTGACATTTTTGAAAAGTTTAAGGAATGACATACTTTTTTAAGAAATTATATGAGAACTAAATTGAAAGTTTTCATAACAAACAAAAGTCTTGATTTTGTTTAAGATCATTTTAATGAGTTTTGCAGAAAAAAGGGTATTAAGAAGTATAAAATTTTAGTTGGTACACCACAACAAAATGATCTAGTTGAACACATGAATATGACCATTTTGGAGCGGATAAGTTGTGTGTTGTTGTGAGTTTAGTTACCTAATAATTCTAGGATGAAGTTATTGTTACTGTGTAACACCCCAATTCTACCCGACAATTATATATGCAAATTAGAGTCATAAAATTCATGCAACTGAAATCAGGATGCCACAAATTCAACTTTAAAAACACATTGCATTCAACATGGATACATAACACTTTAAAACTTCGGATGAACTATCAGCATAATAATTTAATCTCTTAATTCAACAACTTGAACATCTACGCAGCGGAATCATAATAACATCTTTGTCCAACAATTACAACAACTTCAAAATAATGCATACTTAGCAACAAACAAATTAAAGTTCAACAACTGAAATAATCAATAACTAAAAGCAACAAGCGTTCATCCCCCCGAGTGTTACGTATCAGAGCAATGACACTGAATCGAACTACCGAAGGTATACTTCCTTCACTCTGGA